CATTTTACATCTCTCGTAATATAAGGCTGTTGTTCCCTTGAATGAAGAATGTGGACTGTTAGAGTGGGTTCAAAATACTTGTGGTCTTAGGAATATCTTAACGAAAATGTACAAGTAAGCAAAGTACTAACTTGTATTTTGATAATTTATAAAAATTCAGTTGGACCTCTATGCTATTTTTTACTTATTCGTACATTGATAAATTTTTTGTTAATTTATCAAAAGGGAGAAAGGATTATACGTGAGATCTTCAGACATTAAAAGACTTTATGAGTCCATGACGTCTGCTAGAAAGGAGTAAGTAATATTTTCTTGCTTTAAGGAAAAGTTCGTATATAATGCTTTAAATTATTAATATTTGCTATGTATTATCACAGAACAGAGACTATATGTAAAGAATAACCAGTTATGACTTGGCATTTTTTTTCAGAGAAAGGCATAAGATATTTCAGATGCAAGTTTTAAAAAGGTAATCACCATTATCATCACCATTGTCATCGTAATTATCATCACTACATTCACCATCATCATCACCATTCTCATCATAATTATCACTACATTCACCATCATTATGAACATTCGTTTCTGCATTTTCTAGATATCCTCCAATATTTCACGAATGGTTCCTCAAAACATTTCCCACACCAACTTCATGGTAAAAAGTTTTCAAAAGTATTTAAGTATAAGTAATTGGGTTTGTATTATTGTGATTTAAAATTTCACCATGTTTTATTTTCCATCACTCACAGGTATAACAGTCGTCTCGGTTATTGTCGTACAGCCGCCGTGATGTCGATGGTTGGATATATCCTTGGTCTGGGTGATAGACATGGTGAAAATATCTTGTTTGATTCAACCAATGGAGATTGTGTTCATGTTGATTTCAATTGCTTGTTTAACAAGGTCGGTTTGTTCATATACAGTGGTATAGTGTAGTGTAAGTTTTACACCTAAATTTTACAACTACATTTTACACCTAAATTTTACAACTACATTTTACAACTACATTTTACACCTAAATTTTACAACTAAATTTTACACCTAAATTTTACACCTACATTTTACACCTACATTTTACACCTAAGGAAAGTGTTATGAGGAATGAGTTTTGAAATGATTTAGGTAGGGATCACACACTCATATTGTTGTGTTTGATCTTCATGTATATGTATGTATTCCTAGGGTGAGAGTTTTGATTGTCCAGAGTGTGTACCTTTCCGTCTCACTCACAACATGGTCCAAGCCATGGTAAGAGGATAATTATAACCATGTCCACTACAAACCATTTTCAATTGTCTACCATTTAAGAATTGCTTTCTTTTTTGTCAGGGTCCGCTGGGTTATGAAGGTATTTTCCGCCGCTCATGTGAAGTGACATTAAAGCTAATGCGAAACCAGCATGACTCACTTCTGAGGTGAGTTATGCATCCAGCAGTATTGATTACGAAGACTAAAATAGCATTTACAGAGCATTTTATGTCTTGTAGTGTGTTAAAGACGTTTGTTTATGACCCGTTGGTGGAGTGGAACGACAGACGACATCGTGACACCGCAGCAACAGCCGCTGCAAAGGAAGAAGTAAGACCTACAGGATCTACAGTTTTTTACAGAATAAACTAAACTAACTTTATTTGTACTGGATAGATCTATCAGTTCGAAACTGTTTTACCTAGAGGTCCAGTAAGGATCATCTCTTATTGATCTAGTGTTACTAGACTTACTACAGAAAGAAACCTAAACTAAAACTAACTTTATTTATACTGGATAGCTCTTTCAGTTCTAAACCCTTTTCCCTAGATGTCCAGTAAGGATCATGTCTTATTGATTCAGTGTTACTACAGGAGGAAACCTAAACTAAACTAACTTTATTTACACTGGATAGCTCTTTCAGTTCTAAACAGTTTTCCCTAGATGTCCAGTAGGGATCATCTCTTATTGATCCAGTATTACTACAGGAGGGAACTTAAACTATACTAACGCTATTTATACTGGATAGCTCTTTCAGTTCTAAACAGTTTTCCGTAGAGGTACAGTAAGGGTCATCTCTTAGTGATCCAGTATTGCTACAAGAGGAAACCTAAACTAAATTAACTTTATTTAATCTTCAGGGACTGAAAATTGTGAAACAGATTGACCAAAGACTGCGTGGGTACAGCAAGAAAAACAAAATACTTCTTCCCTTGTCCATCGAGGGAGAAGTTCATCAATTGATAACGGTAAAATGCTTCGTATTCGTTCATTCATTCATAGTTCTTACAGCTTTGAATAAATCAAATTTGTGTGCATGATGAAAAGTGTGAACATTTTCATTGTTTTTTTCACACCCCTTTGATGAACATTTTCATGTCTGAAAATACATCCTCTCGTGAAGTGCAATGCCTCGGGTTTTTTCAAAAATGTTTTCTGTATTTTCCAGGAAGCAACGGACGTTGATAATTTATCTCGGATGTACATAGGTTGGGCAGCTCATCTCTGAATTATTCATTGCAATATTACGGTGAAATATGGATGTTGACGTGTTTATACTACGTGTTGATATTTATTGTTAGTTTTTCTGTTCATGCCACATAGATATGCAGTGGACAGCTTGTAATATAGAATTAT